AACAATCAACCATTTTCCTTTGGACCTAACAATTTTTTGCCTATGCTGCAGCCACTTTGTGAGAATGAGTGTGTCTTGTGTGAATACACAGGCATGTGTGTGTGGGCCAGAATGGATGGATGGATGTGTGAGGGATACCTCAGAATTTTCTTTTCTTATTTTGTGTGAAAATCTCTTTTCTACAGATTTTCCAGGGTTTAAGCATTGCTTGCTGTATAAAAACTTTACTGAATTATATACATACAGTTTGAATGAAATGTTATTTTAAAAACAAAACAATTGTTAAGTGTTCCATAAAGGTTATGTTGAATTTGGTCAGATGAATATTTGTAAGTAAAAAATATATGCATTTCTGAACCTCAACTTACATAGATTTTCTTTATAAAAAAAAAAAAAAGAAAAAGAAAAATTTTGGCTATAGGTGGCCTGAATAACAGGCATTATACATGGTGCTGTGCAGAATAGTAAGCTAGCATCTTACTGCCGCCAATATTAGCAGGTACAGAGCCTTTTTTCAGCCTAATTCAATAAGTTCTCAGGCTTCCAAGTCAGATGGACAGGGTGGAGTGAAGTGAGCCAAGAAACTCCCCATGGGTTTTTTGAAACATCGAAGGGAAATGTAACTACTGATAGTAAAAGCCCAGCCATGACCCCGGCAGACAACCCTTGATAAAAACTGGGGACCGAGAGCCTCCCAACTGCCCTCAGTCCTATCACTGATGTAGTGATATCTGGCAGGATTTAGAACTAGTCATGGAACCTTATGCTCAAACTAAAAGTAGGTCATTACTTCCTGGAAACAAAGTCAGATCACCTACCTTGTGCTTCCTAAAACAGCATATATCACTGTGAAACTAAAGAATGTTCTACAGGTACATCTGTAGAAAGAAGCAAAGAACAGGATAGTTTAGGAAACTGTCTCTCTTAGCTCTACTCAACAAATTCCATACTAGTCACTCAGGATTGCTAGTTGGTATGCTTTTGTAAAATGAGATCGAAATTTTTTTAGATGTGGCTGAGATCTTTTCCTGCAGAAGCTAAAAACACTCAAGTTGAGAGAAGGGAAGGGAGTCTTCTCAGGATTACAGAAGATGACTTCTTTTTACAGTGAGTACTGCTTAGCCCTTCTGCAGTCCTTAGCTTGGCACCTGCTCCGGCTTCTGGGTCAGCTTCAAAGCGAACTCCACAGAGGTTGCTCTTGACTGCGTGAAGGTAGAGCCAGCCTGCCTTTTCTCTTTGCTAAAAGAAGGTCACAGGCATCATGGTCAGGATGTGAGGTCTTCTGTCAGAAGCTTGCGGTGAGTGTGTGCTATTGACGGGGCCCCAAGCCCACCCGCCAGCTACTACTGATGGGGTTGCTCACATTGTAGCTGCCCTGTCACCAACCTGCACCTTCCTCGGGAGATTTAAATATGTTTGATTGCAAATGAATGTTTTTAAAATGTATTTAATGCAGTTTTTCCTGATCTCAACATGACCACCCAAGATTCAAACTAGAGATTTCCAAGTTGTTATTTTTTTCAGAACATCACCAATTTTAAAATCTGTCACAACAGGGACTTAGGTTTTGTGCTGATAACACAGTGCTAATGTAAGAAAACAAGTTTAAAGAAAACCTACTTTATTAGGAATAAAGCCTTATTTAGGCGCATTCATTGTTGTTTCTAGTACTGAGAAAATATCCTCGGTTAGCATTTGTAACACAAAACACTATAGAGTTGGTTTTAAAAAGTACCAGATAAATATAAAGAAACCAATAATGAATTGCTGAGACAATCTTGAACTCAAATAGCATTAGAAGGCCAAAGGCCCAATGAAATAACACTTTCACATTTAAACTCTGTGGATAAATTTTGCCTGTGGGTATAAATAGATGGTCAAATAAAAAGTGCTTTACTATAATTAATTTTTCTGATTTGAATGAAAGGAAATGTATTTATTAAAACAAAGCTGTTTGCTGCTTTATGCAGGTGCAGTGTTCAGTCAGCAAGGAAGTGGGAAGAATGGGACATGGTCTTATGTCTACACCCAAGTTCTTAACTAAGCTTCTCGCTCTCATACTGCATTCTGTTTCTCCTTTTGTGCCCTGATTGTAACCCAAAATTTATGAACTAGAAAAGAATGTCCAATTTAATAAGTTGCATTTTTTTCCTTAAGCACTTTATTCAGAACAATACATGTTCTTCTGGTAGTGTTTGGATAATATGGTTTTAACACATGCTAATAAAAGCCAAGAAAAATCATGGCAACTTCTAAAAAGGAGTCTGTTTTCCAAATGTATAGAAATGTTAGGAAACGTTTCCAAATGTTAGAAAACGTTAGGAGATAATGTGTGCTGGCTTTTGGAACCTGTGATTCTTGGTGAATGAAGGGCTGGGAAGTGGCTCTGCATTTTAAGCGGAGGGGTTGGTGCCTTAGGATACCTATGGCTCGCAGAAGCATCTGCAGCTATCTGGGGACCCCTTTCTTCCTGGCCTCCTTCTGAAGCCTGCAGACCTTTTACAGGTGGCTACTTCCAGCCACCGAGACACCCCGTCTGTCCTCTCATCTTCTCCTTGGGTATGCCACACCTCCACTGCCACCACCTGCTGGACTCAGACCCAGAGTTTGGTAAATGATCCCCTGCACAGTGCACAAGCAGCTGCTGTCCCTCTGCAGGGACACATAGATGCTCTTTGCTTACTCACTGTGCACTGCCTTCTTTTCCCCACCTCTAAATCGTGGACAGCACCTCCCATCTCAGGGCCTCACTGGAAACAGAGAAAAAGCCAAGGACACCTGCCCCAGAGCATGGGGGAGGACAATAGGCAAAGGATGGAAGCTCTGAGGGGATCCAAGGTGAGGCCAAAAGAATATGAGGAAGGCCAGGCAGGCCTCCTTTTCCATAACTGCCACAGGGAAAACTTGGAAGTGAGGCCTGAGAAAGGGGGAGAGGAAAGGGGGACTCCCACCCCAGATCCTGATGTAGAGCCAACCCCTTGTCACCTGGAAAAGGGGCTGGTGCTGCCCCCATCCTGCCCCTTTGCACTGACCTTCCCTGGTTACTGGGCAGAAAGGCACATGTTTGTTTCCAGCATGAGGGAAGCTTTGGTGCAAGACCTGGCTTCAGGGAAAGCTGAGGGACTCCCACAAGGGCCATGGAGTGGACTACTGAGCCACCTTTCCTCCCTCCATTTCTGCAGCCCTTGGCTCCCAGCTTTGGCTTTGCCAGGCAGTCAGCCTCTTGCTGAGTGGAGGGCCAGAGCCAGTCCTTAGAATGGAGCCACCCTCCCTGACATCATGGGGCTGAGCCTGCCCTCCCTATCAGGCACTCACACCAGGAACTGAGAGGGCTTAAATCTAAAAAGAGTACCCATCCTGTAACTCCTGGTTTGCTGCTGTTGTGGGATGCTAGGCCCAGGGTCTCTGCCAAAGACTATTCTCTGAGAGCGTGCTGACATTTGAGCCACTCTCAGGAGCTCCCCCTACCCACCCACCCATTCCTTATGCCATGAACCTTCTGGATTCTTAGAAATGAGATGCACTACAATGCCCCTAAGCCACCAGTAATAGGGGTGTCTACATCCCTCCCACTCTGGCCTTATCACCTAATACCCCTCCTGCTTTCCTCCTGCCTAAGTCTGACCTTCCCAGCTACTTACTAGGAAGGCTTAAAGATCTATCACTGACACAAACACACATCTCCCCCACAGGCTCATTTCCCCCATCTACTCTCCCCTTCTCTCCCCTGGTCGCTTCATCTCTCGTCTCCAGAGATGGAAGGTCCTTGGCTTCCTGGCTTTTGGGGAGATCAGATGGCCATCAGCTGGGTGCACCCCCTCTAAGTAGCTCATTCAAAGCCACACTCAGCACCTGTGGTGTGGAAGCCCAGGTGTAGGGCTCTACTGCTCCTCCAAGTCATTTGCCAGCTCTGAGGTGAGCACAGACCAAACAGGGTCCCTCTTGAGCCCACTCACAAAGGGAAGAGCACAGCCCCATGGTGGGCTGTGTGTCCAGGGGTCTGGAACAGTGGATCCAGCTTTTCTAACAGATCCTGTCAGAGATGGCTCTGCTGAGCACATTGTTTCACATGGGGGCCCGGTACAGATCCTGATGAGCACTGAGGGCATGCATGTTTCCATTCAGATGTGACACAAGGTCATGGGAAACGCAGTGGCCTTAAACAGTAGGGCCAGCCAGTGTCACAGGCCTTGGTTCCCACCTTCAGCATCCTGACTCATCCTTTTCTCCCCAGGGCTAGCATAGAGCCCAGAACAGCATGCCTTATGCTAGACTGACAGTGTGATGCACCCACAAAGAGCCATCTTCTGAGAGTTAACTGCCCATTTAAAGAGCTGCTTCAGGTTGCTGGCAAATGAGGAGATTGCTGGCTTTAGCCTCATGGTGCAGAACACAGCATTTTCCTTATTCACAGAGGAATGAGTATGCCTAGCCTTGGTGAATTCACAAACCAAGGAGCAAGTTGGCAAGAGGGAATGGCAGTGCATGGTGATATTCACAGGGGAGCATATAGATCGTCACTTTTTACTGAAATCCTGCATCCCTCAAGGGAAGAGCACAGAGGGACAGCTGAGCCAGGCAGTTTAGTGAAAACTGAAGGCAACGTGGCTACACTAGGAGCTCTCAGGTTTTCAAATTAGGCTTTAGCCAGAATCAGAAACTAAAGAAATAGGGGAGGGAAGCCTCAAGAAAATAGATGAACCCTGATTCCAAATGTAACTTACAGGCACTGAGCTATGAACATGCCCTGATTCATGAAGAACCACAGAGCCATGGAGAACCACCTGACTGTGTGACTTGTGCAGGAAACATGAGGAAGCACTTAAGCCCATTTAGTGTGTCTGGAAGTGTCATAGCCAATCTGCTGCATTGTTTTCAAGTTCATATTTACCAAGTTAAGTTCTAAAATTGTTTAATTCATAAAGTAGATTTATTGTTGGGGAAACACTGTCCCATGTAACTTAATATCCACTGAAACAACACCATATCTCACAACAGAGTACAATAACTGATGTCCATTTATTTTGTAAAATCACAGAGACAGAAAAAAAAAAGTGTATGTTCTATATACTGTTTAATAAGGCCGGAAAGTATATAGTATTATTTTCATTGTCCATGAAAGACAGCTTAACCAAAAAAGTATTGGTGCTCAAAAGAGTAAGCTCTGATGCTGGAGGTTCCTTCTGTGCAGGAGACACGGTGCACTGACATTTCAGCCCCAGTTACATGCTCCAGAAGAGCTTCACGGCCATCTCAATCCATGTCCTCAGGAAAGCGAAGTGCCTCAGGGGGGCCCACTGCTCCTTCCACCTCACTGCCTGTGGGACGACATGTTCTGCAGGCCCTCTGGCACACAGCCCTGTCCCACCCACCATCCACAAGGAAACAGGAGAAAGGAGATCTAACTACATCACTGACAGTGAAGTTAGGGGTCAGAGTGGGAGGGACAGCAAAGGGGGTCCTCATATGTATGCTGTGTCTAGGTATTAAAGAATTAGGAGAATGAGTAACATTTGTTGAGCATTTAATGTGTGTCAGGCACCAACCAGGCTAAGAGCTACACTGCTCCTTCCACCTCACTGCCTGTGGGACGACATGTTCTGCAGGCCCTCTGGCACACAGTCCTGTCCCACCCACCATCCACAAGGAAACAGGAGAAAGGGGATCTAACTACATCACTGACAGTGAAGTTAGGGGTCAGAGTGGGAGGGACAGCAAAGGGGGTCCTCATATGTATGCTGGGTCTAGGTATTAAAGAATTAGGAGAATGAGTAACATTTGTTGAGCATTTAATGTGTGTCAGGCACCAACCAGGCTAAGAGCTTTACATCCTGTCTCCTTTCATCTTCACAACAGCTCTATGAGGAAGATGATTATTTTAGAGTTATTGGTTCAGTATTATAATGTGTCTGTCATTATCTCCATTTTACAGATGAGGAAACTGAGGCCCAGAAATTGTACTTTCTGGAGGCTATTCAGCTGGTGAATAGTGGAGCCAGGATTGTCTGTCTCCAGAGCCCTTGAAACCTGCCCCCAGTGCCTTTTTCTTAGCAGGAAAAGTGCTGGGTAAGTTGAAAGCACATGCTGCTCCCCCAAGCTGAGGAGGTATGACACAACAGAACATGTGGACAGAACATCAGCACCCGGCTTCAAAGCAGCACCTGCAGGAGGCTGCACACCTATTCCCAGGATGTGGTCTGGCCTCAGACCCCTCTGGAATTGTCCCCTTTACTCACTATCACCTGAGGACAAAAAGTCAGGTTTATGATCCAGCACTCTCCCCAGTAGCCCCAGCGAATATTTCCCAGCTGGCTCACTCTCCTGCCCAGACTTGTATACCTGAGTTACACCTATTTGCTCCTAATCACCTGCCAAAAGGATGAAGATGTTCCACGATCCTGGAGACATCAGGAAACGTATCACGGGGCTCTCTCGGAGCATAAGTCCCGGAAGAAAGCTGACCCTAGCAGGGCTACCCTCCTGGAGTGAGAGTTCCTCCCAGCGGCTGGATAGCTGATGGACGACATGCGCTTGGGTGTGTAAACTCACGTAGAGCCACATTTCCCAGGATTTCCACACTACCTAAACTCTGTGGCACTCTCAGCTACTTCCTTAGCAGGCAGTGGAAATAACTACACTTCCCAGGGCAGTGGGCAAGGATCTAACAGGGCCTGCCCGGGCCAACTCCCATCCCATCCTACCTTGCCCTCTGTCCACCTAGTCTGACTTGGCTGGATTTCGGACCTCAAGACCATAAGCATATCAAACATTTAGGCAAATGTATTGGTTAAACTCAAACATTTAGACATACACAGGTCTGCATTCAGCCTTCTCCTAAGAATCCGACGTTCACATGCTTTGGATTTTCCCAAGATACTCATCCTTTAGCCCCTTCCAGCTCACTTCTGCAGCAGGAACAGCACAGGCCAGGCCCAGGTAGTTCTTCGCTGCTTGTGGAATGGGCTGAGTCACCTGTGCTCTAGACCCCTTGGGGCTCTCACTTGGATTTGGAGGAGATTATGACCCACCACACCTTTCCCAGAGGCTGTCTATGAACGCTCCCCATGAAGGGGAGGGTTCTAAACTATCATCAGCCATGCAAATGTGGGCTGAGGGCTATGAGGCTACAGCAGGCTCCAGGCGGAGGCCCTTCTGCACAGCCCGCACTTCTCCACCACGCTCCTACTAGAGATTTAGCATGGGTGTGCGGAGCAGAGAGGACATGAAGGAGCGACATCTGGCCTCTGACTGGCTTTGAAGTAGGCTTCCAGAAACTTAAATTTTCCCAGTGGTTTCCGCAGAGAAATGCAAACAAAGTACCTTTACAACGAAAATAATATTCCAAACTAAGAAGCAGCAAAAAATGTACTGAGGTATTAAAAAGCAACATTGTTGCTCTGTGAAAACACAAAACAGTTTAGTATTGAAGGACAAGTTATTTTCAGAATAGGACTTTATTATTGATTTTTACTTTTTCTTTTTTTTTTTTTTTTGCAATGAGAATATTTATTGAGAATGGCTCATACAAACAAAATATATTTATGTATAAAATCTCTGCAGTGCCAAAGACCCCTTTCATCTCTCTGGAGTGAACAAAGCCAACTGTCCTATGTAGCTTCAGAGGTTGCGCTGGACCCCAGTGGACAGGCTGGGCAGTTGGTGCCATGTGCTGTGGTCATTAGTACCTGATGTCCAGCCTCCTTCTCCAGCCTCATTTTCATGACTTATGCAAGAATGCAACACAGTGAGTGTAGCTTGCATCCTGCCTCTGTGACCCTCCCCAGGCAGATGAGTCCTGAGGACAGGCAGCTTTCTGGCTAATCTTACGGATAGGTGACGTCTAACCGTGGCTTGCCCTGAGGAGGCATCCTCCAAGACCACGAACTGAGCACTTCCAAATGCAAAATAGGACTTTATTAGATTGAAGACTTAGTTACCAAATAATTATTATCAGCACCCCCACAAGCACATCGTCACAAATTCCTTTTCACCTTAGATTTAATAAAGATCAAATCTGCCTTGATGACTTACCCTGAGAGGCTTTTGTATCTTTGTCTGAAAACTTAAAACTGGGGAAGAGCAATGCCAGTTCTCTGTTGGCGTCTTCTCTGTCCCTGCTTCCATGGACTGCATTAAAGGGCATTTCTGTGCCATACTGTGCACGGAGACTGGGAACATTGGTAAAATGTAGAAGAAACAATTGTTTCATTTGAAAAAAAAGATTTTGTTTTCTTGCAATCCGATCACCAACTACCAATCAGGACTCTACATTCCTGTGAAATTGCTTTCTCTTTGTTGGAGATACCAAGAACAGCAGCAATGGTAATAGTAGTGGATGTTCATTCGGTCAGGGCACTGTACCAGGCACATGGCTGGGTGCTTCTCATACATGATCTTACTGCATTTCCACAACAGCCCTATGAAGGAGACTCTGCTATTATCCCCATTTTATTTCTTTAATTTTTAGATTTTGTGGGGGGTGGGGGGGTTATGAAGGAGACTCTGCTATTATCCCCATTTTATTTCTTTAATTTTTAGATTTTGTGGGGGGGGGGGCAGCTGGCCACTAAAGGTATCGAACCCTGGACCTTGGTGTTATCATCACCATGCTCTAACCAACTGAGCTAACCAGCCAGCCCTATCGACATTTTAAAGATGCATGAGTAATGGTGTAAGCACAGGAGCTGCCATTTTGTCGATATTACCACCAAGGGCTAGCACCACGCCAACTGCTGGATATAGCTTCGCATAGTTCATCCTTACAACAGCCCCATAACACAATACTAATATTACTAGGACTTTCTGTGTATCAGGTGTTGCTCTAAGCTCTCTCTCTCTCTCTCTCTCTCTCTCTCTCTCTCTCTCTATATATATATATATATATCTTCTGATGGGTGCTCATATCCCCATTTTACAGATGAGAGAACTGAGGCTGAGAAGGGACTTGCCAAAGTATGTGGTGACCTAAGATCTGAACCCTGGACTGTCTTTCAGTAGCCCCGGCTACCTCATAAATGAATGTCCTCAGGCCCCTATATCTACAAAGTACAGCTCTTTGGCCTCTCACTAATTTCTTTCCTGTTGGCTGGGTCTCTCAGCTACAGAGGCCAAGACACTGGATTTGGCATTGGTGGTGCCAGGCTAAATGCAGGGCCAAGCCAGCCTGGTGCAATGTGCAGAACAGGGTGCTCAGACTCCAGAGTCCAGGTGGAGGGGTTGAGTCTACAATGCAGATTATCAGCCCCCGCCCCAGAGTCTCTGACTTGACAGGCTTGAAACAGGGCCCTGGAATGTGTTCTCCTCTCTCTTGGAGAGAGAAGAACAGTGACTGAGGACCAAGCTCAGCAGCAGCCTTCAGAAGAAGGTGGGGAGGGGAGGAGTTGGCAAACAGCTCCAGGAGGCAGTCAGCAAAGGCCAGGCGTGGATCAGAGGGAAGGATGGCAGGTCTCCCCAAATATATAATAGAAAGGGGGCCTCTTGGCCATGAAAGAGCCTTCTGTGTTACCCACAGTTCTGGGCTGAACACCCAGTGAGGCTCTCAGCTTTCTGGGATGCAGGGGGTTTTTTGTTTGTTTTGTTTTGTTTTGTTTGTCTTTTTCGTGACCGGTAAGGGGATCGCAATCCTTGGTGTGGTGTCGCCCACACTGCGCTCAGCCAGTGAGCGCACCGGCCATTCCTATATAGGATCCGAACCCGCGGCGGGAGCTTCGCTGCACTCCCAGCACCGCACTCTCCTGAGTGTGCCACGGGGTCGGCCCTGGGATGCAGGTTTTGAGATGGATGAAAGAACCACTGCTGCTGACCTCACCTTTCAGGCTGCTCCATCCTGGCCACATTGGGGTCACAGGGCCCCATGAGGGTCTGCCAGGCAGTGACTGCGTCCTCGGTGCCCTCAGTACTGGTGAGGATCAGGAGGTGGCTGGGTCCACTGCACATGTAATGTACCAGCTTCTCAAATGCCTCCTAGGCACATGGAGGGAAAACAGTGATCCCAGGCAGGAGCTGCAGGGGTCTGCTGAGGGTCAGCGATCCCATCCCATCCACAGGCTGGGAGGGGATCTGTGAGTAGTTAGCATGCCTGTGGATGCTCAGCCACTGTCCCTCCCCTGCCTGGCCACCTCTGCCTGCTGTGGTAATGACCAGCCTCACCCAAAGAACCAGAAAGATGAGACCTTAAATTGACTTGTTTCGAGTTGAACATGAGATGATTATAATTTAGGTAAAGGCATATAAAAGACCCTATATATGGAAATCATGTGGATGCTGGATAACCAAGGGGTGGAATATCGTTGAGATTTTTTTAAATCTTTTTTGCAATGCCTTGTGACCCTTCTTCCTTCAAGTAATACTCTGGTTTTCCTTAGCCTTCCCCACTTCATGTGGTCCTAGTTTGACTGACAACCATGATGCCCAACCCCCAACACACACACACACACACACACACACACACACACACACCTACCTTACTTGAGAAATGGGACTATGACCCAGGCTAGCTCAACCAGACTCCCAAGTAGGTGAGTCATAAGCAGAAACAAATGGACAGTGGCTGGATCTGAGTTATCCCACGGCAGGGTCTAAGGTAATATGCACGAGGCTTTGCTTCTGAGATCCCCAGACTGTTTGGGTTCCTTTTCTCCCTAAGCCCTTCTTGTTAAACTCTTCCTTCAATTCTCTTTCTTCAATTCTGTGAGTTATGGAGTATTTATCTAATAAATTCTTTATTTCATTACTTAGAGTCAAAATCGTTTCCTTGCAACCAAAGAACTTTACCTGATACAGCCTATGATCAATATTCCGAGTGCAAATTTATGACCTACTTGCTGTTCATATTCTTGTTCTTCATAATATTCAATGTTCTCTCAAGCTAATATGAATCTATAAACACAATGTTTGAGGAAGAGAAAGAAATGAGTGTGTTGAACGGATGGTGGCAGGTGAGCTCACCTCTCCAGCTTTGTGTTGGTAGAAAAGTCGCATTTCTGCCTCGGTCATGGTTCTCTCTTCATTTGTTAAAATGTCAAACCCAGCTTCCTGGATCTGTAAAAGATACATATACATTCTGAAAGGGTAAGTCAAGCCAAATTCACACTTGAGTTAGTTGAAAGGTAAAAAAATAAAGATAGGCAACATTAAAAGCTGTGGAGACCCTCATCCCCACAGTATTTGTCCCAATCAGATTTAACATTTTCATTTACTTAAATGGAGTTTGATTTACACCTCCTTAGAAGCCTTCTTTCCCCACTAGAACACTGCTATCTGATGCCCTATCCCTGATTATCCACCAGAGAGGACATGAGGACAGCCATGCAGGGTAAGTGTTGTCTCTCTTACCTTCATAATAATCTCATCAGTCTTTCCGTGGGCCACTGCATCTGGTTTAATGATTGCCAAGGTACAGGTCTTCTCTGATGACACTGAAATAAGCCAAAGGCTGGTGCTGTCAGACACTGGCATGTGAGGCCCTCAGAAGGCCAACCCAGGGAGCCTCTACCCAAGGCTCCATTGCACCATGTGCCAGGCACAGGCTTGGGCTCCTGGGGTTCCCTCCCCTGGCCTCTTAGCTGTGCTCCTGCAGACCTGGACTCTAGTGGATATACCAATCTGGCTCCAGACTCAACCTCAACCTGGCTGTGAGAGACAGAGTGGCTCAAAGAACCTAGGCGGGGAGGAGGAGGTACCTGGAGGAGGGGAGTGCTCAAAGACTGATCAGGAGCAGAAACCCAGAAACAAGTGAATGAGTCGGCCTGGGGATGGGGTGGGGATAGGGGATGGAGCACTGGAGAGGCGGCAACACGGGCCCAGCCACCCTCATCCTTTCTTATTACCCTCATGATTCTTGGCTTCTAACCACTGTCTGCCGTGTTCTCTCTCTCTAGTGGCTCCTTTGCCTTTGCTGCTTTTTACTTTTCCTGCCATGTGGCCAAGAATGGCTGCCCCAGGCCCTGGGTCTATGTGACTTTTCTTGATTCTTCACCTCCAATACGTACTACCAAATGAAGGCTTTAGTCCTCTCTGTCGCATTTCAGATTCTCCAGAGAGGAAGCCAGACTGGCCAGCTAATTGTTTTGAGCCAAGGCACCAGTCATACCTCACTGGCCAGCCCACTGACTAGCTGCCCTTGGGTCAGCGTCCAGTCCAGTCAGCTGTGGCAATGAGGGAGGGTCAGGGATCAGAATCCACTGCCTCAGCCCGCAGAAGCTGCAGGAGGTCTGTGTCTAGTCCACAAGTCCATCTCTACTGTACTCCTGCTTATATGGACTTGGCCTTGGTCAGTTTCCTACACTCTCCAAAGAATCAGTATTCCCCCACCACCTATTTTCGGCTTCTCACCCTTTACATCAGTTGTGTGAAACAGGACAATATCTGCACCGAAGGAGGGTTTTCTACTCTGAAAATCTCAAAACCATGTGTACTGCAAAGGTGTAAATCATTTTAAACAACAGGTCTGTTAACTTTTCTGTGATTACCATTTCTAACATGCTATGGACACTTAGACTTGAAGAGACTTACAGTAAATTCCATTATAAAATGACCAATTAACGAGATCACCTAGAAGTATAAAGTGAGAAGAGAAGAGACCAAAGCAGGGGCCTGGAGAGCTCCAGCTTGAAAGGGGAGCACGAGAAGAGAAGCCAGTGAAGGAGAGACTAAGGAGAGCCAGGGGCATAGACAAGAAACGAGAAAGGTCCTGACATCTCAGAAACCAGAGGAGAAGAAGATTTTGAGAAGGAAGACATTGTGAACATCATGATTCTGCAGAAAGATCCCATAGGATATGGACTGGAAACTACCTGCTGGATTTGGCACCAATAAGGCCACTGGTGCCATGGTTCCAGGGAGCAGTGGGCTCTACAGAGGCCAGGAGGCAGCAGGTTGGGCAGGAGTGGAAGGTGAGGGTGGCCCAGAGTGTGGACAATGTCCAGGAAGCTTGGTTGTGAAGGAGAGGAAGGCTAAGGGCAAGCGCAGGATTGTTTGTGGTTTTCTAGGTGGAAAGACTTGATTTGGGAGGAAATCATGGAAGAGGGAAGAGAGAGGACATCATGCGTAACAGGAGGCAACAGATGTTTCCTGCAGAAGCCAAATCTCTGATTTTCTTTTCATACTTGACGTCTCCTTGCTCTCCTAAACCTTGCCTCCTTCCTTGCTGGAATCCAACTCAGACGGTCCTTATCATCCGCACACGAGAAAACAAGCCTTTCTACTTCATGCAGTAATCAACATCATCATCATCATCATCATCATCTTACTTCTCTTGTCAACTCAGTTCCTGAACTTAATCCTGGTTTCCCCCGGTGTCTCAGTTACCACCAAGAGACGCTTCCCCGCACGGCCTGTGTAGCTGCGGCTTCCCTCACATGGCCAGGCCAGGCCATGCTTCTCACGTAAAAGGTCAGGAAGAGCCACGATGCCAGGAGTGTAAAATTCTTGAGTTGATGCTTGGGGAATAAGGGAAAGATGGTGTAGGACTCGGTAGAAGGAAGCTTTTCTGATGTTTCAGAAAAAGGTGAAAGAAGAAACTTGACCTTTTTAGCTCAAATAAGGACTAAAGAAATACCAGCACCATTACTTTAAATTATTCGTGTCACTACCCTCCATTTTATTAAATGGAGCTTTTCCTTATGCCTGGTAATTGCCATGAAAGTCACACATTATATTCGAACATGATCAGAAAGCTGTGCCCAAGATGCTATTAAAGGGCAGAAAGGAGATTTGACACAGTTTGTTTGAAACCAGGTGATAAGAGACAAAACATTTTATGGTTTATCTTCCCAGAGTTCAGATTGATCGACAAGCTGATGACTCATGTATTTAGAGCACACATCAAGCCTGGTCTGCTCTGCCTTTTTGCTTTGCTCATTGGTTCTGCACTCACCCATGTTCTCATCTTCACCATCGTCCTTTATGTGGGGAAAACATTCATCTTCATCAGACAGAGCCTTGTCTTTAATCTAGTACACATTGGGCATGAACACAAAGTAGTTAGCTAATTAAAATTACCACTAACATCTTCAAAAACCTGCAGAAACCAAGAAAGTAAGGGTCCAAAATACAGATTTAAGAAACAGTCAAGATGATCAGAGTCCTGTAAACTTTACAAGATCCTTTTCAGTAGTTGGGTGATGGTGGGGGTGGAGAGAGAAGATAAGCAAATAAATCCATGCTGATCTTAAGTTTTAGATTCTGCCTGTTTTCACAAGCATTATGTAAAGACTAAGGAAAAATAAAGAAGAAACAGAGTCAACAAGAAGACAAAGAAAGAATGGACATGCAAGTAAATATTAAGCGATTGGTTATACAGTGCAGAGAAGTAGTAAAGAGACAGATCATTTTCCCCTGGAGGAGTCACATGAAAATGTAAGCATTTGCAATTTTCTTTTCTGGGGGAAAATGGCCAGTTTGGGGGGGGGGGCAAAAAATATGATTTGATTCTAATCCATTCTATAAAAATAGAGCTCTGCTATTTGGAATGGAACATGAAGACTTGAACAACGAACACTGAACAGTGCTAAGGTGCACTTGGCAGAAACCCAGAGCACCAGGAAATATTTTTCCCTACCTACGGTGTGTCAGTTTTCAAAGGCAGCCAGTCACTTGTGACCAACTTGCAGTCTATGTTATCACAGAAATAACTTATCAAAATCATAAGCTATAGGGCCAGCCCCGCGGCTCACTCGGGAGAGTGCAGCACTGGTAGCGCCGAGGCCGCAGGTTCGGATCCTATATACAGATGGCTGGTGCGCTCACTGGCTGAGCGTACGTGCGCGTGGTACAGCCCACACTGTGCCAAGGGTTGCAATCCCCTTACCAGTCAGGAAAAAAAAAAAATCACAAGCTATGCTGATCCTATTTCTCATAGTAACAAAAGGATTAATTATCATCCGCACACGAGAAAACAAGCCTTTCTACTTCATGCAGTAATCAACATCATCATCATCATCATCATCATCTTACTTCTCTTGTCAACTCAGTTCCTGAACTTAATCCTGGTTTCCCCCGGTGTCTCAGTTACCACCAAGATTTTTCAAAAGTCTCTATGTGTATTACTCACAAGGGAGTGAATCTGGAGACGGAGAAGTTCACATAGGGTGGGTCCTCCGTCCATTTGCATCCCACCACTCAGTGGACCACCGTAGGGTTAGAGATTATGGCCCGTGTTCCCACATAGCCGGTTATGATTTATGCTTTAATCACTACAGCTCAAGCATCAAATCATGTGGTAACAATACCATTTCTGCAACTGGGCCCTGATGTCAAGTGTGTTGGAGTTCCTTCATCTCTGAGTTCCCTGCCACTTCTTCCTCTCTTTCTCCCAACCATGTTTCATATTTAACTTTGGTCTCCCTACTAAAAGCCAAACTCAGTGTTTTACCATAAGCTTTCAATTAGTAATACTTGCAGTGTTGAGGCCAGGAGAACAACCCTGGCCTGGCCATCAGGCGACCCGGGTGAGTAGATGCCACTTTCCCTGACTCTACAATGAGGGGCTGGGCTGGGTCAGGAGTAGCAGAACCATCAGTTGCCTTCAGGGCCTGGCAGGTGTCCTAAACCTAGGAAGCCAGGTGTGAGGCAGTGGGCCCTGAGGGGCATGGAGCTGAGCCACGGATGTCATCCAAGAAGACATCCAAGTTGTCTTCTCAAAACACTTGACTTTCCTTAATAGCCCCTCTCATTTCTGACTTTCTGTAAACACATCTTCACACTTTATGATTAAATAAAAGTGAATGCAGAGCTTTTCTACCCCATAAAGAGTATTTATTTTTGCTCCTTTATGGAGCAAAGGATAGAAATCTTGAAACCCTGTGCTCTGAGAGCGAAACCTCAGTCAAGACTGTTCATGAACCAAGAAGGAGCACGTGCATTTGAGTGACTTATTTTCTTTCCCCATGTACATTCAGTCAGGAGGCTGCCCCAATCAACAGTGACTGCCAGGAGCTGCGTCACTCACCTCCTCTGAGCAGGGCCCTCGGGCTGACCCTAGTCAGGGGCCTGCATCACCACTTCTCAGGGATGGTCTGCGTGTAGCCCCACATAATAAAACTGTCTAGGTGAAGCGTCAGAGGAAATAGCATCACTTGTTTGGATCAATGAGACCTCTTTGTGGCTCCCAGAGAGAATTAATGCCAGTGACACGTCCATCTGAACTCTCATGATTTGCAGCCATGAAATGGTTCTGGTTCTGAAAATGTACTTACCGCGTAAAACAGAAAGGTTGGCTCACACCTCCCTCGATATTTTTCAAGGACATCAAGACAATCTGCTTCCGCCTAAAGAAAACAAGCTGTCAGCAGACTGCATCCTGGACGCAGCTGATGACTGCTTTCACGGTGAAACCCCAACCTGTTCTCATGCTGCTCCTTTCAGAACTGTCCTGTTAACATTTTGGTAAAAGTTGTGGACAGCGTAAACAATTAAATGAGGAGGAAACAAAAGTTTTTCCTGCTCCCCACCCAGCTCCTCCACTGGTCCAAGGGAGCTCCGCTATCTACCATCCTTCTGCAGCCATGACTGCCAACACCAGAGGTGAAACATCCTCAGGGGTTGCCATCATTGCCTGATAAACCCGCTGTACGTGGACATAACGGATCCCCCATGCAAGCCTTTCTGCAGCACACTCTCTACAGAAGCACCAAACTCACTCCCAAGGGAGGACTCCTTGAAGTCCTTGCAAAATCCTTGAAGTCCAACTTCTTGAGAGATCAAGGTAAATTCCATTTTCTCTGAACCTCAAACCCATGCAGCATCTCAACAGTGTCTCTTGCACACTTCTCTGAAATGTATTCCCGTTCCCATACATTAATCCAAGTAAATGTTTGGTAAAAGTTCCCCTTTATGGAGCAGAGGATGGAAATCTTGAAACCCTGTGCTCTAAAAGTGACATTTCAGTCAATAGCATTCATGAGCCAAGAAGGAGCATGTGCACCTGAGTGAAAGGTGTCCCTTCCCTTCATACAGCATCAGGAAAGTGTCTGAGCCAAGAGTGACTGTAGGAGGTGAGGGTGGGGAGCAGGAGCCTCCATATCTAGAGAAATTATAAATCATCATGACAGATATCAACAAAAATCCACTGTTGAAGCCTTTTCAGTGCTTTGAAGAAGGCAGCTCACAGTTCTTATTCTTTACTATGTAAAAATTTTTAATTGTTATTGCAGTGTTGTATGACTTTTTGCTGAGAGAGAATCTTACTAATGCAAAATGCAGAAAGTCCAGTCCAACCTCGATCCTCATCTTCTGGAAGAGGCTCACCACAGGTTTGCAGGGGCCACACCAGCCTTGATAGACGTCAACAACTGCACAGAACCAAGAAGCAGGAATGTTGAGCAGCCACCGGTGCCACATCAGGCAAAATGGATATTTGAATTTTAACACTCTACAGTCTTGTGGATGGAGGCCAAGAAAGGAATTTGGGTGGAGACAAGAAAAAGTCCCTAAAGACGTAGAGGGCCCTGTATACAGGTCCACCAAGAAGGACAGGTTCAATCCCCTAAGGAAAAAAACTGGGGCCCAATTAGCTTAAAATCTCTGTGCAGTATTTGTACTGATAGTTCACCCATCATTTCTACCAGCTTCTTCTCCCCTCTTCTACTCTTTGTCTCTGAGAAGAGTGGTGGGGACAGAGGCACACTTCACAGGGTTAGAAGGGCTGGGGATGAGGGATGGGAGGGCCCGGGGAGGAAGTGTGTGAAGAGTTTGGCTCTGAAAGACAGGAGCAAAACAGAGAAGGCACCTGGAAGCAATGGCAGATGATACGAACCTGTGTGTGTGCATGTGTGTGCATGTGTGCGCGTGTGTGCGTGTAAACCTGAATAGACTTTTGCATGTTTGAAGGCAGATGAAAATGAGCCAGCAGAAGGCAAGACTTCCAAGTGGACGGTTGAATTGGAAGAATATTTCTGCCAGCTCTAGAAAGAGGGAAAAGCATATGCGTGTGTGTATATTTTCCTCCAGACTGCCTGACCTGATGAGAAGGGGCCTTCAGTCAGCAAAGGCCTTTGAACCACTTAGAGCAGGCTTAGCAGAGAGTCAGTGCTCAGTAGATGCCCGCCACAATCACACAGGGTGCTTAGCAGGGTGGTGGGCACACAGCAAATTCTCAAAACATTATAGGATGGTTGTTTCATCACTGCTGTTAAAAAAATAGAAGTGATGGTTTGTTTCCCCCTGGAGTCATGTTCTAGTTGTCCAGACAAGAAATATTAACAAAACAGTTAAGCCTTGGCACCATCAGAAAGGCTTTATAATCCCTCGAGTAGTAGAGTGTGGCAATACTCACGCCCACACAACTAGATCAATGTGACCAGCATTTATTTAGCACCCACTAGGCCCCAGGCCTGGGCAAGTCTGTTACAGATGCAAGATGAAAAAGCAAATGCTGTTGTGTTTAGAGTCCATGAGGAAAGCCACAGTAGCACCTTCACTCTGTGAGGAGAGGTGGGACAAAGACAGGTACCACACCTAGCTGGGTGTGTGCTGAAGGGGTTGAGACAGAGCCCCACCACAAGTGCCCTAGGGACTCCTGGGACGAAGTGACCACACAGAGGTTCAGGAAAGATTTCATGCAGAGGTTACTTTTGAACTGGGCCTGAAAAGGAGGAAGATTTCTTCAGGTCATGATGGGGCCATAATATTCCAGGTAGTAGGAACAACACGGATAAAGTGGCAAGGGGGAAAATGTGTGGCATTTTCAGGAAGCATGTTAGAGCTCAGAACACACCTCAGGAAACAGAGGGCGAGGGCACTGGAAAGACAGATTTGAGTCACAAGAGAGGGAGGGGGGCCTAATGTTGAAGTCATTTGGGAGGAGGTTGGCGACGGGAGGGATAAGAGCAGATACAAGCAGACTGAGCAGGTACATTTATGGATAGAAGGAATGAGCAGACACAGAGAGAATAACAGAGCCCAGAGATGTGTCGAGTGAATGAGAAAGAGAAAGGACTAGTGGGTGAGGTGGGGGTGGTACGCAGATTCCAAGACGGCTCCAGGGATCCCTGCCTCTCGGTTTTCATTCCCTGTGTCATCCTCTGCCCAGAGCATGGGCTGGACCTAGTGACCAGCTCCTAATGAGTGAAACATGGCAAAAGTGGTAGGATGTCACTTTCAAAATTAGGTTAACAAAAAACTACGACTTCCATCTTGTGCTCTCTCCCGCAGAGTCCTGCTCTGGGGGAAGCCAGCTACCATGCTGTGAGTAGCCTCATGGAGAAACTGATGGCAAGAAATTTATGTCTCTGGCCAGCAACAAGTGGGGACTTGAATCCTGCCAACAGCCACATAAATGAACTTAGAAGTGGATTTTCTAAGGTCTGTCAACAGCCACATACATATATGAGCTTGGAAGCAAACTGCGCCTAGTGAGCCTTGAGATCTCCCGTCTGACACCTTAACTGCACCCTCAGCCCAAGGCACTCAGCTAAGCCGCACCTGGATGCCTACATCTGTGGGATAATAGATGTTTATTGTCATAAGCCACTAAGTTTGGGGGTAAATTATTATCCAGCAAGAGATAAGTGACACAAAGGGGACAGGGAGGAGGAGACCCATGGCCATGGACGTACTACTTCCTAATGATGGTGCAGTTCCTGGTTCCAGTCCCTTCTGATGCCTGGCTCTCCTTCCATCCTTTAATTTCCAAGAGATCCCCATATTCTTTCCAATACATTCTCATTTTATGCCTCAGGTAATTAGAAGAGGAGTAAGTTACTTAACACCAAACAAGCCTGAGTACAGAAATCAGCTCTATGACAAAGGAACCCTGTCATCTGACTATACCAACTCATTTCCTGAACTAAATTTACTGATGTTCAAGCCAAATATATACAGACACAAAGAAAATGACCTGGTTGTTCTGAGACTCAAGGCTGTAGGAAAATGAGGCTCACTGCAGCCCTTCTCTTCATAGTTCAACGTATCATTTAACAATTTTGAAAAGAATGGATCTGAAAATTATTTTATTTTAAATTACCAGTTAATCCTTTGGAACCGAGCATTTCTTCCCAAAGTTCCTGAGTGCTGATGTTGACCTAAAGCCAAAGAGGATCAAATGCTGTATCACTGAAGGTACAAATGGGGAAACAAATTAATGTATTTGCTCTAGATCTCTCTCTCTCTCTCTGAAATACTTACAAATACAAGTTGTCTTCTCTCCCCAATCTTTTTTTTCTCCTTTCCTCTCTTCCTGCTTCCCTCCCTGGGAAAAACCACTATCCTAAGAATGATGTGTACTATTCTTGGGCATTTAAAAAAATAATTTTACATGTCATTTGTATAGAAACAATATATAAAATTCCTTTTTGTCCTTAAAATGTACATAAACAGTATCATACTGTAGGTTTCCTTTTGCAATTTGTGTTTTTACTCAATATCAGAAATAATCAAGGGTTGAATTTATTGCCATTCATTCACATTTTTTCTCTTATCTACAGAGTTCTGGTTTATATTAGATATGAAATACAAGGAGAAATACACATTATCCTTCTCCATAAATAGTATACATTTTTGTATATTGGTCTTTACTTTAAAACAATTTCAAACTTACAGAATTTGCAAGTACAATATAAAAAACATTTGGGGTTTTTTTGTTTTTTAGTTATTTGAAGGTCAATTATCAACCTGATATACCATCACCTCTTGCATATTATTCTACATAACCACAATACAATCATCAAAATTAGGGAAAAAACCACTGATATATAGTTACAGCTTAATCCTCAGACACCATTCAAATTTTACCAGTCATCCCAATAATTTCCTGAATAGCAAAGGACCTAACCAGAATCGTGTGCTAGATTTATTTGTCCAGTCTCTTTAGTCTACTTCATCGGGAATGGTTCTTCAGTCTTTCTTTTATTTTCATGACCTTGACACTTTTGAAAACTATATGCCAGTAGTTTTGTAGAATGTCCCTCAGTTGATGAACAATGATGCTCCTCCTGGTTAGATTCAGATTGTGCATCTTTGGATCGGGGAGTGTTAGAGACACTGAAGAGTGCTCCTCTCCTTACATCCTATCGGGTGATGCACAACTTCTGTCTGGCCAGTACTCATGACGGTTCACTTTGATCACAGGATTAAGGGGGTCTGTCAGGCTCCTCCACCATAAAATTATTCTCTTTCCCTTCACAACTAATAAGTTTTTGTAGGGAGCTACTTTGAAACTGCAGTATATAAATTAAAAGACCATGAAAATTGCCACTTGTTCTTAGTACAGGTCTGCTAAGTGCTGAGTCCCTTTAAAAGAATAGGATGCATTATTTGCAATAAGTGACATCTGCAAATCTTCTATTAAAGGTCCCTCTTTTTCAGGAAGCTTACTCCTTAGTTTTTTGTTTCTATTTTAAAAAAGAAAAGATGAAGAAAAAGAGAAAAGTCTTCTTGATGCTTTAAATGAGGTATAAGAGAGTTGGACTGATGTCATGACGGGCCCACCACTACAGTCCTGAGGAAAGCGATAGAAAGCTTCAGAAGAACCCCTACCTTCACCCACAGGCTCAGCTGTAAATCACTGGCAACTCTCTGAGGCACATGCACCAACTGTGTGGCCAGGACTCTTTGGGTAGTTGAAGAATTTCACCCCTAGGAGCAGGGCCGAAGCAGAACAGTGTGGGAAATATCTGGACTTCACTGAGCCCTGCATTTGGTAGGGAATGAGAGGGGAATGGGTGGCACCTTTTGACCAGACTGTTTCTTGATATGTACAATTTCTGTCTGTCTCAATCACAAAAGGAGCCCAAAATAACCTTGCCCAGGGAGAGCACAGAGTTCCTGGGTTGGTGGACCCTAGGTGCTGGTTTCAAGGAGTTTACCTTGTGGAGAGGTGACGCTTACAGAGATGCATCATTGTAAGTGGAGAGGGCATGCCGTGCCCCCTCCTCCCTCAGCAAACGGGAACACATACTTTAATACTGCATTGTACTCAGAGCTCTAAGGATACACATGGAAAAACAATAATACTGCTAACAAATGTCATTACTTCCAAAGGAGACATTGGACATAAATACCTCAAATGATCATCACATGGGCAGTGATATTAGAGACACCACAGACAGCATTCAGAACAGCCTGGAAGTGTCTAAAGGCATCACATCACAACAGCTCTGCAGGCTATGTATTATCCCTCCTGTTTACATAAGGGACGTGGAGGCTCAGAGAGGTTGAGGAAATAACTCACACAGCATTAAGTGGTAGAACCAAGTGATCAGAATTTACTACAGCCAAAATACTCAAATATAGAAAAAGGAACTCTCATACATTGTTGGTGGGACTGCAAAATGGTGCAGCCTCTATGG